GATATCGAAATTCAAAATTTCGACCCGAAAAAAAACGACAGTGTTACCCCTTTCGTTTTTTTTTCGTTTTCGGCCAAAAAATTAAGTTTCTCCAATCTTCTCAAAACTCTGGATTATGATAGAGGGCTGTGAGACTTTGACCTGAGTGCAAAAATGGAGGCTCTAGACCCTTCCAGAGCTGAGATATCGAACCTCAAAATTTCGACCCGAAAAAAAAACGACAGTGTTACCCCTTTCGTTTTTTTTCGTTTTCGGCCAAAAAATTAAGTTTCTCCAATCTTCTCAAAACTCTGGATTATGATAGGGGGCTGTGAGACTTTGACCTGAGTGCAAAAATGGAGGCTCTAGACCCTTCCAGAGCTGAGATATCAAAATTCAAAATTTCGACCAGAAAAAAAAACCGACAGTGTTACCCCTTTCGTTTTTTTTCATTTTCGGGCGAAAAATTAAGTTTCTCCAATCTTCTCAAAACTCTGGTATTATGAAAGAGGGCTGTGAGACTTTGACCTGAGTGCAAAAATGGAGGCTCTAGACCCTTCCAGAGCTGAGATATCAAAATTCAAAATTTCGACCAGAAAAAAAAACGACAGTGTTACCCCTTTCGTTTTTTTTTTCATTTTCGGGCGAAAAATTAATTTTCTCCAATCTTCTCAAAAGTCTGTATTATGATAGAGGGCTGTGAGACTTTGACCTGAGTGCAAAAATGGAGGCTCTAGACCCTTCCAGAGCTGAGATATCGAAACTCAAAATTTCGACCCGAAAAAAAAACGACAGTGTTACCCCTTTCGTTTTTTTTCATTTTCGGGCGAAAAATTAAGTTTCTCCAATCTTCTCAAAACTCTGGTATATGAAAGGGGCTGTGAGACTTTGACCTGAGTGCAAAAATGGAGGCTCTAGACCCTTCCAGAGCTGAGATATCAAAATTCAAAATTTCGACCAGAAAAAAAAACGACAGTGTTACCCCTTTCGTTTTTTTTCGTTTTCGGCCAAAAAATTAAGTTTCTCCAATCTTCTCAAAGCTCTGGATTATGATAGAGGGCTGTGAGACTTTGACCTGAGTGCAAAAATGGAGGCTCTAGACCCTTCTAGAGCTGAGATATCGAACCTCAAAATTTCGACCCGAAAAAAAAACGACAGTGTTACCCCTTTCGTTTTTTTTCGTTTTCGGCCAAAAAATTAAGTTTCTCCAATCTTCTCAAAACTCTGGATTATGAAAGGGGGCTGTGAGACTTTGACCTGAGTGCAAAAATGGAGGCTCTAGACCCTTCCAGAGCTGAGATATCAAAATTCAAAATTTCGACCAGAAAAAAAAACGACAGTGTTACCCCTTTCGTTTTTTTTCATTTTCGGGCGAAAAATTAAGTTTCTCCAATCTTCTCAAAACTCTGGTATATGAAAGGGGGCTGTGAGACTTTGACCTGAGTGCAAAAATGGAGGCTCTAGACCCTTCCAGAGCTGAGATATCAAAATTCAAAATTTCGACCAGAAAAAAAAACGACAGTGTTACCCCTTTCGTTTTTTTTTTCATTTTCGGGCGAAAAATTAATTTTCTCCAATCTTCTCAAAAGTCCGTATTATGATAGAGGGCTGTGAGACTTTGACCTGAGTGCAAAAATGGAGGCTCTAGACCCTTCCAGAGCTGAGATATCGAAACTCAAAATTTCGACCCGAAAAAAAAACGACAGTGTTACCCCTTTCGTTTTTTTTCATTTTCGGGCGAAAAATTAAGTTTCTCCAATCTTCTCAAAACTCTGGTATATGAAAGGGGGCTGTGAGACTTTGACCTGAGTGCAAAAATGGAGGCTCTAGACCCTTCCAGAGCTGAGATATCAAAATTCAAAATTTCGACCAGAAAAAAAAACGACAGTGTTACCCCTTTCGTTTTTTTTTCATTTTCGGGCGAAAAATAAAGTTTCTCCAATCTTCTCAAAACTCTGGATTATGATAGAGGGCCGTGAGACTTTGACCTGAGTGCAAAAATGGAGGCTCAAGTAAAAGGGGGCTGTGTTACCCCTTTTGATTTTTTTCGGGAAGAAACTCTTGTAACTTCAGTGCCCAACCCGTATCACGACAAGACGTGAAATAATCACGTTGGTCCACTTTGGAAAACGTGTAGATGTCACGGTTTAGTTTAAACTCAAAACCATAAATAGGGCTATAGACCATTTCACAAGATGTAAACAACACTGGTCCAGAAGCACTTCCTGTTTCAGTTTGTAACTGTTTTCTTTATTTCACATGTAAAGAAAACATCTTAAAGATGTTTGTTTAACTTTTTGATTCAGTTTTAAATGAAGAGTTCAGATGCAAAAGCCTCTAAATGCCATTTGAAATTTTCTTCTTTAATGATGATTTTTATCAAACTTGTATATTTAAGTTCAGTAATTTCACTTAAATAACAATTAATAGGTAATTATCATTGCCATTTGAAATCACTGAACTTAAATATACAAGCTTGATAAAAATCATCATTAAAGAAGAAAATTTCAAATGGCATTTAGAGGCTTTTGCATCTGAACTCTTCATATATATATATATATATATATATATATATATATATATATATATATATATATATATATATATTGCATTTTAAATAATAGAACATTTCTCAGTGATCGTAAATAAAACAAAATTCCATTTAGATCACATTTAGATGTTTTCTTCGGTGTGGATCCAGGCAAATTAATCCTTTTCACCTTGAAAATAATAAATGTTTTTTTTTGTTTGTTTGTTTGTTTGTTTGTTTGTTTTTTGCATTTTACATAATAGACCATTTCTCAGTGATCGTCAATAAAAGAAAATTCCATTTTTCTCGGTTTAATGAAAACCATAGATCGTGATGGTAAGTTTTAAGTGTAAGTTTCACGTTTGAGGGGGTTTAAACCGTGACATCTACACGTTTTCAAAAGTGGACCAAAGTGATTATTTCACGTCTTGTCACGATACCGGGTTGAAGAAATAGTGTTTAGGCCACTTTGTTTGATATAATCACAACAACTTAACGCAATATGGGAATTGAACTCAGGTCTTCTTGATTAAAACCCAACACTTTATCAACTGAGCCACCGCATCTGTTGAGTTCAAGGGGTTTTATTGCAGGTTTGGCTTTATTTGTTGGAAAAATAAATCTAGAAATATAATTTGACACAAGAGGGCAGTATAGCCCTATTTATGGTTTTGAGTTTAAACTAAACCGTGACATCTACACGTTTTCCAAAGTGGACCAACGTGATTATTTCACGTCTTGTTGTGATACGGGTTGGGCACTGGAGTTACAGGAGTTTCTTTCCGTTGCTAAGCAATGGAACTAGGTCGAATATTTAAAAGGTTATGGTTAACACGGTTAACGTGGTTTAACATCGATGTAATACGTTGTTTTTAGCATACCTTTTGCTTAAACGAGGAGCTGGGGGGACGCCGGAAAAATAGACATTTTACTCATTAGGCTGCTTCATTAAAAACGTAACATTTAGACGTTTTCTTCGGCGTGAATCCATGCAAATGAATCATTTTCACCTTGAAAATAATAAATGTTTTTTTTTTTTTTTTTTTTTTTTTTTTTTTGCATTTTGCATTTTAAATAGGCCTAATAGAACATTTCTCAGTGATCGTAAATAAAAAAAAATTCAATTTTCTCGGTTTAATGAAAACCAATGGCAGAGGCGAATAAATATCCGGATATCTCTCCAATGGAGCGTGTTAACGCAAACGTGTAAGTTTCACGTTTGAGGGAGTTAAATCGTGACTATTGAGGCTGCTTCATTAAAAATGTGACATTTAGACGTTTTTTTCAGCGTGGATCGAGGCAAATGAATCCTGTTCACCTTGAAAATAATAAATGTTTTTTGCATTTTAAATATTAGACCATTTCTCAGTGATCGTCAATAAAACAAAATTCCATTTTTCTCAGTTTAATGAAAACCAATAGGTAAGTTTCAGTTTAAGTGTAAGTTTCACGTTTGAGGGGGTTTAAACCGTGACATCTACGCGTTTTCAAAAGTGCACCAAAGTGATTAGCTATTTCACGTACCGGGTTGAAGAAATATTGTTTAGGCCACTTTGTTTGATATAATCACAACAATTTAACGCAAGTATGGGAATTGAACTCAGGTCTTCTTGATTAAAGCCCAACGCTTTATCAACTGAGCCACTGCATCTGTTAAGTTCAAGGCATTTTGGACGGGGTTTTATATTTGTTGGAAACATAAATATAGAAATATAATTTGACACAAGAGGGCAGTATAGCTCTATTTATGGTTTTGAGTTTAAACTAAACCGTGACATCTACACGTTTTCCAAAGTGGACCAACGTGATTATTTCACGTCTTGTCGTGATACGGGTTGGGCACTGAAGTTAACCATGTTAACCATAACCTTTTAAATACTCGACCTAGTTCCATTGCTTAGCAACGGGAAGAAACTCCTGTAACTTCAGTGCCCAACCCGTATCACGACAAGACATGAAATAATCACGTTGGTCCACTTCGGAAAACGTGAAGATGTCACGGTTTAGTTTAAACTCAAAACCACAAATAGGGCTATTCTACGGAGGCGTGTTATTCTGCCCTCTTGTGTCAAATTATATTTCTATATTTATTTTTCCAACAAATAAATCCAAACCTGCAATAAACCCCTTCCAATACATTCTTGAACTCAACAGATGCAGTGGCTCAGTTGATAAAGCGTTGGGCTTTAATCAAGAAGACCAGAGTTCAATTCCCATACTTGCGTTAAATTGTTGTGATTATATCAAACAAAGTGGCCTAAACAATATTTCTTCAAACACCGGTATCGTGACGGCCGCTTAGCTCGCAAATGCCTCGGGCCGGCTCTGTACTGCAGCAATAGTCAGAGAGAAATATATGCATTAACCATCTAATCGGTTGCTCTGGTAAGAGAGCCAGAAAATGAATACCAAATGCAATATAAACTGTATTAAGAATGACCTTAAAAAAAGTAAGGGAGAAAGAAAGACATGTGCTTGGTTTTTCTGAGCCCTAAAATAAAGTCTTTATTTAAAGATTTGTACAATAATATTAAAACAAAATCCAATAGATTTACAGAGAATATTTATAGTGAAAAAAAAAATCAACAAAGGTGAGGTTAAGAAACAGTCTTGTGAAACTTTACATTTCTGAGAGGAGCGGTTATCCCATGCTCCTTTGCTGACCCCTAAAGGACAGTAGTGGCCACGCTCATTGTGGGGAGTCCATTCATGTTGTGCATATGTCGTTTAAAAACGTACAAAACATCAATTTGTAAAACCTTTCACAGCTTTTGTATGCACAAACATTTGACATCCAGCATCATGATATTGTGTGACACAAGTCAGTGTACTGCATTAAGTTAATGAAAAAAATATAAAAAACCCTTCAACATAGCACTAAGTAAATACAACAAACACGTACCATGTAGCCAAAAAAACAACAACAATTATATAACCTACTGTAACACATTATGTTGTAGAATGGTCTGTAAAAGAGCATATTCTAATAACATCACTGTAATAATAGCATCATCAGATATACATTTCATCTGGAGTGTTTCAATTAGCAGGCTCTAAGCAAACCATCAGAATAGTATTGCACTAGTATTGCACTCCACACTGGTAGACAGCCCAGGAACTAACTATAACTGTGTAATGCACCCTATAATCTTTCTTGAACAAAATTAAATTCTTTGACAGGCATATTGTGCAACATCACTGTTATACAAAGCAAATTTGCAATGAAAATGTTAGTGCAAAAACTTTAAAAAGTTTACTTGTTTAATCAGAAAAATGTATCTAGGTGGTATCAATAGCATATTTAAATGCAGGTATTTGTAATAATATCTGTGCTCTTCTGTTCAGTATTCAAGCATAAAATATGCATGGAACAATGCTGGTTGAAAAGCTTCGGTCAAAATTGTGTATCGTCTTGACATTTGTTTCTTTGGCACTAATGATCAGTAAGACAACGATTTTACCTTAAAAAATGTATCAGGTTAGATTTAACATAAATTCAGTACCAAGTGTGAACTGAAGTTTAAAAACGTTTCAACAGCAATAAAACCCACTGCTAGAACACAGAATATGGTTCCTTCATACTACAAAAACTGTTATGTTAAATAAACAATTAAAACGCTTTTAAACAAATCTCATTGAGCAAAAGTGACGAGTCAAAAGTATAGTGAATGGACAGCATTTTTTTTTTTAAGGCACAACGATTTAGATGTGTTCAAAGTGATCATTTCAACAGCTGCTTGGTTTACAAGCAAACATAAATAGATAGCAATTAATAAATCCCCTGTCGTCACAAAAATCTGCCATTTTAAAGTTGGTTTAAATAGTTTTTAGTTTGGTTTACATAGTCCTTTTTTTTGGTACCGACAGCATTTTTGATGAGTTCAGCACCCTGACAGACCACCTACTAGTAAAGCATCAGCCCAATGGACGAAAACTGTTTATCGCCCTTTAGTCATTTCTCAACCTTTCAAGGTTAGATTTTTTATGTACTGTTGCCTTGTTCCTGTTCAAACAGCAGCAAGGCGAGCTGAGAGCGTGATCCAAGGCTGTCGAGGGTGCTCTGCACACACCTCTGATAAATATCTTCACTTAGACGAGGATTGCATGGCTGGTAGCTGTACTTCTGATGCAGGGCCGGCTCCACTGCTCGGAAAACGTGGAGGCCGGAGTATTTGACGAACATTTCATATATATCCAGGTTCTCCAGGATCTCCTCGTTCTCCTGGACATCCGAAGACATGCGCGTCCGGGTCGTCATGTAGTCCGAGTTGTAAAAACATGCTTCGTTGAAGGAACTGCGATCAAAGTGGCCAGCCTCTTTGACCAAATCCACTGTATTGGTAAGAGGCTGGTTATGATAAGCAATGTCAGGATTGTAGTATTGGAAATGGATGGGGAAGAACACCTGCCAGTTGTTGATGGAGTTCATCCGACAGCGATTGAGGAACTCGGAGTTGATGCTGGTTTTCACGGTGGCAATGAAGAACAACGTGTCAACTGGGTGCTTCTTGGAGATGATGTCCATAAATTTGATTTGAGAGGGACTTTCGCTTTTAACACTGATCCAGGGGATTTTGACCATAGGATAACGGTGCTCGCAAGCACTGATTTGCGCTTTGACAATAGCGAAGATGTCATTCTGGTTGACTTGTTGGGCCTCAATTGGATCGTAAATAAAGAGAAACGTCAAGATGGCATTCTCACTGGTTTCGAAGGCGTTTGCGGCGTACACTTCCAAAAACTGTTGAACATCCTCTCGGTCTTGAAGAGTGACGGGTAAGATGATGTGGACTCTAGTTGCTTCTGTAACATAAGGCATGGGGATGATCTCAATACGACTGAGAGGCCTAACCAGGTGGACCCTCTTGGTGATAGAGCGACTGTGTCCCTTCTGGTTAACCACCTCCAGCTGTAGGTCCAGGGTGTACTCCATCCCTCTGGTGGGGTCAAAGCGCCTGTAGCCATTAATAAGCTGCTGCTTCTTCAGGTGCAGGACCGGCTTGTACTTCTTGTTCAGCTCACCCATAGCCGTCTCAATGACGTCGGCTACGTCCAGCTTATCGATTCCATGGAGCTCACACTTCGGAGAACCATCGGTGCAGGAGTACACCTGATCTTCGGTGAAGTAATCCCACCGTAGAACCTCGAAACGTGTTTTGGGCTCAAAGGGTGGATTGATTCCTACTGGCCACAAGGCACTACGGTTGCCCTCAAAAGCCACCACACTCACATTTCTTATTTCCGCCTGTTAAACAAAGAGGTGTGGGATAACATTAAGCATTTTAAGGTATTTGATGAGCAGGTTACTACCTTCATTTGAAAATTTGTAATGCTGCACTTTACCAGAGCACTTTGCAAATGAAGAAAGGATTTTATAGCAATTGTATAACACCCTTACAAAAGAGAACATTATGAGTCATAGAGCACAATAGGTCAAAAGAAACCACTATTTATTCTTTGTTTGTCATTGGTACTAATCAGCACAGGTTTAAAATATAAGTGTACCTGCAGTTTTTCGATCTCCTCGTATGTCTTCTGCAGCTCGATCTCAGTGAAGTGTTTGTGAAGTCTGTACATCTGCTCAGGATCAGACACTGGGTGGACGGTCAGTGCATTATTAAACTGCACATTATCTTCCTTACTAGGGTCAGAATTTTTTCCCATTTCATAATAATAATACTTCTCCCCCTGAAAAAAAAAAAAAAAATTGTAAAAAAAAGTATGGTTAGTGAGACGTTTTTTTTTTTTAGTGTGCAGTTTAATTGTTTTAATATTTCATTGTGCATGCTCATTGCTCCTATTTTTTTACGTTTAAAACATCTAATGCTCACTTAAATGTAATCTTTAAAAATGCTGATTTAATAACACTGTTAATCTGTTAAACTGCAACCTTTAACAAATCTCAAAATAAATTAAGACTGATTTTTAGGATCGATAGATTGACAGATAAAAACTAGAGCTTAATAAAACAATTCATATAAATCTTAAATGCAATCAAATGCAATATATATTATTACATTTAATAATATAGCCAGAACATAAAAATAATTGTTGAATTTAAAAATGGTTTATTCTTTTGGAGAGCATAGTTCGGAGGAGGTACTTCTTCAGAACACTTCCTCCAGGTCACAACAAATGTTTAAGTAAAATAAATGCTTCCAATTTTGACCCTGCAAGAGCTCTGCTCTATAAACAGGAGTAGGAGGCATTACAATGATGTGCTGAAAGACAGGACGTGCTTTGACGGTAAAGGCAGAGGTGGATTTATAATTGGATGAAATGCCAAAATGGAGACAGTACATCATGTTTAGTGTGTCTGATTCACTGACTCTTACTCCCCAGTAGCGCCACACAGACTTTCAGACATCTAATGCTCCTCTGATGGATTAATACAGGTATCTGTACCTGTTTCAAGAACAGATTAACCGGAGGACCTCAGACCCCTCCAAACAACAATGTGACATATGGTTCAGTCTCTAAAGGTGAGATTCAATTTAAGAACTGTGATTCTCTCTGGGCCAAAGGTGGAATGGTAAAAAGTAGACAAACATGAAACAAATAAAAACGTTTAACAATAAAAACGTGGCCAGTATTGATACGACACTGAAATATGACAGTTTTCTTCTAAACTTTCTAGTTTCAGAGTGCAATACAAATTTTAGCAGCTGTATATACAAGCTAAATGAAAGACCGGAGAAAGACCACTGTAGCATTAAAGAGAAGGCTAAATAAGAGGTTTACAGAACTACTTGAACCACAAAAAAGAAAAAGTGTGAGGTCTATGCAAGGCCTGGATTAAAGGCATTAGTCCATTTCTGGGCAACTGACAAACTGTTTTATGTGGCTCTAGAATTTATAGCTCATACAGACAAGGAATTAAATGCACTAGACAATTTCCAGAACAAATTTTAATTTTGATATTTTAGTGTGACTTGCATCACTCTAATCCAGAGAGAAAGACAAGAGAACTGAAACTGAATGTGAGGTGTTGAGAAGAGACAAAGTCATGTCATGTCAATTTCAAAAAAGTTCTGTTTTGTACTGTTACTATGTACTGTTACTTGAAGGCGGTGGGAATAGCAACTAGAACACGTCTTGAATTTAATTCCAGCAGTTACTGGCAGAAGACCTGGATAGAGGTGAAACGTCAGATGTTGCGATGACTGACAGACTAAAGCAGCAGACTGGAGACTTTCCCTTTAATTGCTGAGAACAGCAGCCTATTTCAAAGGAGACATCTGAATCTTGTCTTTGGTTGTTGCATGCGTACGGTGAGTTAAAAGGCAGTGAGATTTAGTTTCAATCAAGAAAGGGCTCCTTTGGGTCCCTTGCAGTAATACTGAGACACACTACTAGTATAAAGCGGTCTGTCATCAAACACAGCAGGTTTACCACAAGGAGTCTGATGGAAAATACAGACACTGCTCATTCAAATAAAGTTGAAAATATGCCAAAATATTTTTGTACACAAAAGCATTTCCAATAACACCAAGGTCTAGTATCTCCACAGACATGTATCTAACAAACATAATTACTGTAAAACTTCAAATAATAGCCGTGCTTTTATTTTCCCAAATTGTCAAACTGCACCAGCTTGTATTTGAGACAGGCCTTTTAGTGTTGAGATGTTGTTCATTGAGTGTAGGCGTAGTCTCTAATGTCTAAAAATCTCCAAATGCTCCACATAAAACTGCAGTCTTTCGACCGTTTACTATCATGTCAATTGATTTTGATTAATTTGCGCAAGGGAGAGAGAGCAGGACAGTGCAGCCGGGGCGCTCTCTCTATCTGCTTGTTATGCCCCCGGTCAAGCGCAACAGTCATTCTATTCTACATCGCTCACCGATCAAAAAAGACTTTGGCGGGACAAAAATTTGCTTTGGCAGTCGCCAAAAAGCGGACGATCTGACGGTTTTTAGAAGATTAAATGCAACCCGAAACTAAAAAACAGACCATTTGAGAGTCTAATTGAGACCGGCCTTTATTTGCCCAAACCTGCAGCCACAACAGTCGTCTAAAAAGACAGGTGTCTATTTGGGACTCAGCTATTATTTGAAGTTTTATGGTATGATTAGGCCTATGTGTGGAACAAAAACAATGATAATACTCATATAATTAGATCCCTCTGAGGCTTCTTAACTTGTAAAATTCCCTAAACACCACCACCATTACACTTAATTGTATGATTAGCATTTGGTGCTCCAAGAAATACATAATTAAGTGCGTTTAAATGCACTTAAAGGCTTTGAAAACTTGAACTTAAAAGGTTTGATTTGAGCTGCTCTAAACAAAATGTATTTTTAAAATGTCACGTAAATGCTTTTGTTTTAGTGAAATTGTATCAGGCAGTTTGTTTTTTTTTTGTGTGTGTAAGTCTAACTAATAGAACTGGATAATGAGATTGTAGCTCATCCAGCTTGTAAACGAGTTAATCAGTCTACATTTGGCCTCGCGTGTGCGTTTGCTCTAAAAAACAGTGGTGAAGTGCAGCATGTATCAAATCCTTTAGATATAGATCTGAGTAGGCATTATGTTGTGTATTTGCAGACAGAAAGAGGAAGATTGTAGCGACGGGGGAAGAAGGTGGGACAGGATAAGAAATAATGCAAGATGGACTTGAACTTGCATCACCCACATGAGCTAAACATGTTGGCACTTGCAAACCGCCAGTTGCCGACTCTTAACACAGCCATGGTTTACTTACATGTTGTTTAACAGTGTCGTTGTTAAAGAAATAGCCCCCCCATCCACCCCAAAAAAAAAAAAAAATTATCCCATAATTTACTGAAACAACATAGGCCTATACGTAAACTTATGACTTATCTCACCTCAAATTCTTCCACGCAGTTTGTCTCAGCATAGTCAATGATGCATCGCCCAAGCCACTCGTCATGTCTGGCGCTGAGGATGTCGTTCCTGCAGTTCTCCAGGAAGGGCTGGAGTCTTAACAGAAGACTGCGGGACAGCAGGTATCCGAACCCCCCATAGCAATACCTCCCCTGCATCTCACCTCCGATGAACTCTTCTGGGCTGCCCATGTAAAGCACCCGGTCCATACTCAAGTGTTCCACCAGAGCCTTGATACGATCCGCCTGCGTGTATGTGTCATCCTGGGCGAGGTAGAACCAGTCGTACTCTGTGATGTAATGTTCTAGAATATACTTGATCGTCTGGAACATGTTCCAGATGAGGCGTTCATCACCATGGGTGACCACGATCATCCCGTGGGGTATCTTGTGGCTTCGTGTGCCAGTGAAGAACACAACATTGTCCAGATGATGGCTTATGGTGCGGTTGACGGCCACACCCAGAGTGTTGATGGTGTTTTTGGATGTGAGTATTCCCACGAAAAGACGCTCTCGAATTCCCAGCTCTGTGCTGATGTATTTCGCCCTGTGGAAACAGACGGACAATTACAATTTACACTCACCAAAAGGACTATTAGGAACACATGTTCAATTTCTCACTAATGCAATTATCTAAAAAACCAATTACATGGCAGTTGCTTCAATGCATTTAGGGGTGTGGTCCTGGTCAAGACAATCACCTGAACTCCTAAATGAATGTCAGAATGGGAAAGAAAGGTGATTTAAGCAATTTTGAGAGTGGCATGGTTGTTGGTGCCAGACATGCCGGTCTGAGTATTTCACAATCTGCTCAGTTACTGGGATTTTCACGCACAACCATTTCTAGGGTTTACAAAGAATGGTGTAAAAAGGAGTAAGAGGAGAATGGGCTGACTGATTCAAGCTAATAAAAGTGCAACTTTGGCCTCGTTTACACTGTCAGTGAAATGTGAAGCAATTCCGATTCTTTGCTCATATGTAACACAGATCGGATGTGTTCTATGACAGTGTAAACAGGAACAAATGCATGTATTCGGATATTTCCAGATCGGTTTCAGGCCTCATTCATATGTGGAAATAAATCGGATATGTGCCAATGCGACGGTCATGTAAACAGGCAGATCGGATTTTCTGAGGCATTTGGCGACGTCTCCGCAGTTTAATGACGAGAGAAACCCCCAACGCTCTTCAGAAAAGGGACGGATAGGAGATTGCGTCATAGGAGAGGAATGTGGACAGGGGCACACGGGATGTTTTCACGGGATTGTAAATGTGCCGAAAATTGTTCATTTACATTTATTTTAAGCATTTAGTAATTTATTTGTACACTTTAAGTGGGCTATTTAAAAAAAACAAAAAAAAAAAACGTACAGAGTGTGACATCATATTGTGTGTGCATAGAAAGAATTAATCCGCAGCCACTCAAAAAAGAAAATCGTCCACAGCTGCTCTACTCCTGAGCGCAACTCCACTGTCAGTGTTGTGTAAGTACAGGCTCTAGGCAGTTTTTTTTTTTTTTGTGTTAATTTCTATTTGCTGTCTCTGTGCAGGCTCTTTATTGTATAACAGTGAACATCCCAATAACCCCTTTATTTTAAGGCTTAATGTCCCGTAGATCAGTCCGTTGCAGTACGAATGAATGAAAGCAGTATCAATAATGTCAAACATGAGATGTGCAGTCAAGTTCGGGTGTGTATGCTGTTTTAACGAGTGTTCTCACCGATACGCGTGTAATTCGTGGAGTTAACAAGTTTTATAGACATTGTTTCTTATTCAAAAGTGGTGTTTTGCAACTTCGCATATCGCAGAGCATGAAGCATATTTCGTGTTCGTCCATCTGTGCAAGATAATTTAACCCTTTAAGCAAGCGTGATATGTTTCAGATAGTAGCCTATAAGTGTAAATACATGAATCGGACATGGGTCTCAGTTTAAAGAACGTGTAAACAGACAGTTAAAAAAAAAAAAAAAATCGGATATAGGCAACAAATCAGATGTGACGTCACGCAGTTAAGTGGCTCCATTTGAGACAGGAGAATACATAAAAAGATTTTAAAAAATATATATATTGGATGGTTTTTTATCATTATATGGTTGTGTACAGGCACTGCCAACACACATTGCAGTACAATTAACTTGTAAAAGTGCATGTACCATTATATGACTCCTTTAACTCGAAACTGTAACTTTGTCATTGTAATGATTACCCTTCATTTCAGATAAGGTTTAAAAAAAATAAATTTGGCCACATTGTGATTTAAACTTTCAATTGCATGTTATAAAGGTACAAGATATTACAAAATACTGTCACAATTATAAGAAAAAGTTATATTGAAAACACAGTAAAACTATATAAAAAAAATTATAATTTATATGATGAACAACGCAACATACCAATAGCAGAGGTTTAAGACATGTTTTTGGGGTATTAAATAATGGTGCATGCATATCACAGTGAATTGACTAGAGAAAACCTTAGTAAATCCACTTGCATTAATATTTTATATACTCTCCTCCCATAAATGTTGCATCTGAATGGGAAATTTACAAATGTATTTGCAATAACGTCAGTAGATGTAGACCTAGTTGAGAGAAGATTTTAAACAGCAAAAGTGTGTGCTGGCACAAACTGTTTTGAAGCCTATAGTGAATATTCACGACACGTTAAATTCAAAGGAATTGGGATATGCCTACAGTACATACTACACAACATTCAACTCATGAAGTGTTTGAATCCATTAACATTACATTTTCTTCCTTTCAAAAGCTGTCTCCAAGTTGGTGAAGGCTATTCACATAACTTTATCTACAGTATTGTGCAATTCTTGATCATTTCCAGACCAGGGATTTGTGATTAAAAAGACCACTAAATGTTTTGCCATTTTTGGATTGGCCCATTTTATTTGCCCAAGAGTTTGTATACTGGGTGTGAGCCTTAAAACAAATGTTTCAGATCAATTTAGCAGTCAACTATCAGCATGCAGCTTTGTAAACCAAAGCTGGGAGAAAGAGGTTAGTATGAGGTCAACGTGAACTGATAACCAAAGACAACTGAACCTTTCATGTCATGGGATCAGTTAACAGTACTATGCAACCCTCCTAATTTACCTCAGAGTGTTGTAAGCATTGACTGAAATGGAGAAATGAGCACCATGGGAGCCACCCTTAAGGATTATAGTGTTCTCAATAGGACATATCAACTGTTACAGTTACAGTATAAGCCTGCCACAGGCCTGTGTCATCTCATTCCCATGAAAAAAAATATATATATTAAAATACCTCTTAGTGTTTGAAATGCCAGTCATTGCCAATCTTGTTGCAGAATTCTTTAAATAGCAAAAGCAAATATTTGACTCTTAGGCTTTGACAAAATAGGCCCTAAACCACCAGCATTTAAGTGTAGAGTTTAAGTCACATTACTAAAAGCTGAAGACCAACTCAAAGCTTTAGTAGGAGTATTTTGTGTTTTGTCTTCAATCTGAAAGAAATACAGATCTTTAACAAATTAAATCACTTATCTTGTCAAAATGTCATGTTATGCTAGTAGCTACTAACATGAATAATGTGAAGATTTTAGGGCTATGTTGCAAAATACAATTTTAATCTCAACGTTCTTTAATTTTGAGGATATCATAAACAAGACTGATTTATGAAAATAATAATAACCAAGATAAACTTCATGAAAACAGCCTTCAATTCCAACACAAGTAAACAACACCACCAAGAACAGAAAAACGTGCATGGCCTGTAAACTATTATTATTCACAGACGTCTTTCAGAATGATAATCACTATGCACGTTGACCTTAACCCATGTAAGATACTCTATCCCATACGTGGGCTGTGTTTATGTTTAAGACATATTTTTTTTATGTCACCAAATAGAGGATTTGATTGTCTGTGGGGACCTTTAGAGAATTTTTGTCTCTATGTAGGCTATAGGCTACTATTTATTTATTTTTTATTTTTTAACAAGGTAAACAAGGTAAGTTAGGCCTAACGTTACATCCAGAATGCCTGTTCAAAAATACATCGATTGGCCTAACGTTAGATAATTATTCACTATGTTGTTTTAACCTGGGATTATGTTTTTATAAACAATATAAAACATAAATGAAGCAGGCAGGCTGAACGGTCTGTCTACCTGAAAAGTTTCTTGGACTGAGTCTGTTTCACTGGTTTATATGGAATTATTCTCGGCTGGAAAACCTCCCCCTCCTCGTCTTCCTCCTCACCATCACTCTCAGGGGAAATAGAGTTTGGTCTCCGGGCTCCTTTCAGACTTCCATCCTGGGATAAAACGATTCCTTCATCTCCTATGGCATTATCACAGCTTTCCTCGACCCAGCTCACACTCAGCAAACTCAGAGTAAATCCCAGAGAGATCCCGATAATAACCGGGCCGATCGGCCTTAACAGACTGATCAACATAGAAAACCTCATTGTACTCCGACTACACCTCCTTTAAGCGCGACCTTCTGATTCTGAACAGGGTAGGGCACATTAAGAAAGCGGTTCAACGACAATCGGAAACCTATTGGACGTATTTCTTGTATTCCTGCATCACCTTCCTTCAAATTATTGAGACATTAGTACGTGTCAGTGGCTCTGTCGCTCCTCCCTGAGGAAATCGAACACCCCGCCCACAAAATCAAACGTCATTACAAAGACCGTGGGCATCCTCTTAATGGGCGGGGCTCATATAAATGTAGGCGGGCGTTTTCGCTCGAAGCCCAATAAAATTTAAAGCCACGACGGTTGATCCTGCCTGGTAACCTGAACAGACATCATAACATTTTATATTTTTACATTGATATTGTCTGTCATTAGTTCGGACTTGATAGGCTAATGTCTACTTCTTGTACTAGCCTATCCAAAAGCTTATGAAATGAATTACATTTTTTTTTACACTAGAGGGCGTTGTGGGTTCATATTTAGTTATTGCTCACTACAATCAGTAAAATAAATGTTTCATGTTTAATAGCATAAATAATAATAATCATAAGTGTCATGATTTCCTGGTGATATTCAAAATAAATTATTAGACTTTTCAACCAATGGCCAGTATAATTGCAATGGAACAAGTTTATAATTGTCTTAAATACCTTAACATTTGAGGTTCCTAAATCCCATTAGACATTGGGGGGGGAAAAAATGGGTTGGGCGGGATAAAGACACAGTAATTTTATAATACGGTTACATTTTTATTTGTCTTTCCATCTATCATTCTGTCTGTCTATCTGTCTGTCTGACTGACTATCTATGTATTTGCTTATGCATTTCCAAGTTTTCTTGTAATAATTATTGTGAATAACTCACTCTAAACACCTTTAGGCTACTAATAGCTGAACTTTTATTTTATTTATTCACTGTAGTTTTATTAGATTTGTTTGTTTGTTTGTTTGTTTATTTGTTGGTTTGTTTTTGCAAAGAAACAATTCCAATTGAGAATTCTTTTTTCAAATATCCATGATTTGATGCTTGAACTCTACAGTAACTTAACATGAGTGAAAATGTAAGACCCACCCAAATCTCTCTGACACATCACACACAAACACACTGAGTGGAAACAATTTCTTTACGGGCCACAAAAACCCCAGAGGGAACGTTTCCCTCACTGAGCTCTTTGTTCTAATAGATCAAGGGTGTGTTAGATGTTATCAAGCATATTTGCACGTTTACCTAGGAACGACACATCACAGTGGAAGCCCTTTCCTTTGGAAATCACAGCACCTCACCTAGTTCTGCTGAGCTGAGTGGGAAACATGATCCGCCTAGTTCCAGATTAAACCTTTGTCAGGACATGTTTTCGAATTTGAATGTGCATGTTAAACTGAAGTTGCTTTATAGCCTAAGTATTGCATAGTCACTTTCTACAGAATGAGACCTTTTTTTTTTTTTTTTTTTTTTTTTTTTACAAATAGTTTAAGTTCTGCTTTGCGTTTTGCATTGAAGGCAGGAAAGGTAAACGTCTATGTTGCAGAATCCCATCTGACAGTCATGATCTGTCATCAAACATATTCATGTCAAGCTGTTTGGATAAAGTCATGTGTAAGAGTTGATATTTTCTTTCAACATTTGTTTCGTGGCTAAATTTGATTGGTAGCCTACCTATTATTCCTGAAGTACTTAGGCTAGCACTTGACTTTCTAGCATTCAAACGGATGTGATTAAAACAAATCCATTCATATTGATAGTGCCATATCAAAATCTAACATAATTGACATTTTTCAGCACACCCATCTCTGAAACCATAACCAAGTGTAGGCTACTTTAACAAACCAAAGCAGCATTGTGTTTATCGTGCAATACGCGAAAATGAGTTTTTACGTGCATATTATAAGCATGCATTGGGTAGGTTTAGGAGTGGTGTCGGTGTCGGTGTCGGGTGCTTGTGTAGGCCTGTTATAGGCCTACGTGTGGGGTGCGTGTGTATTAAACGCAATAAAGTGCGTATATCATTTGGACGCGAAAACTACGTGTCATATGCACGTAAAAACTCACTTTCGCGTACTTATTGCACGATAAACACAAAGAGACAAACGGTAACAGAATATGCCAGTAAAAATCTTAACACATGGTGGCGCTGTATGCTCACAGTTTTAGAGTTTACCCCCCCCCCCCCTAAAATCATATCCAGCTGTACAATTTTTGCTTCATACCACCATGTGCCTATGAAATAAATTGGATGTTCAATATCCATCATCATACTATCTATCATTATAGGGAAGATCAAAATTGTTCAAATAGTTTTCCTTTCTTTAAACATTGCTGATTTTCCTTTTCCGTTTATAAGCTTAGTAAACATAAGGACAAAGAACTCAATGAAAAGCTTATGCAGCTTGACACACACACACACACACACACACACAAAGGTGCTGATTCTAATTTGCCGAGAGTTTATCACTCCGGTAATCAGTGTGTGGCCCATTATCTCATTGGCTCATCTCATTGCGGTATCAGAAAGCTTGTCTTTTAGACCATGCAATGACTACATTTTGTCCATGTTGCATTGCAATGTCTAATTTTTATGCTATGTTTTGCCCATCTAGAATAATGTATGACATGTATACTCAAATCACATGAAATAAATAATATACGTATACTATATTTTTTAGATTTTTATAAATGAGACTATTTTAAAACGTTATCTGCTCATCATAGCTATAACGTAATGTACACTCAAATCACATAAAATACATTATATATATATATATATATATATATATATATATATATATATATATATATAAAATCTATATATATATATCAATTCTGCCCAAATATCACAGGAACATTGCTATATATATATATATATATATATGAAGAGTTCAGATGCAAAAGCCTCTAAATGCCATTTGAAATTTTCTTCTTCAATGATGATTTTTATCAAACTTGTATATTTAAGTTCAGTAATTTCACTTAAATAACAATTAATAGGTTATTACCATTGCCATTTAAGTGAAATTACTGAACTTAAGTATACAAGTTTGATAAAAATCATCATTAAAGAAGAAAATTTCAAATGGCATTTAGAGGCTTTTGCATCTGAACTCTTCATATATATATATATATATATATATATATATATATATATGTGTGTGTGTGTGTGTGTGTGTGTGTATACAATTAAAAATTATTTCTTTAGAGTAATCTTGACTCACTGATTCTCAGTCTTTTTTGGAAAATTCAACAAAACCGGAAATATTCCATCTCAGCACGTTTGTGTGGTGAAGCGTATTAAATGAATCATCAGTGTACTTGAGAAATTCCTCAAGATGGTGTTAAATGATCTTGCCCAAAATGCCCAATACAACCAATCGCAGTGTACTCATATGGTAAATGGTAAACCCATTGAAGACATGTTCCCTAAAACTCAAAGGTTAACACCATCCATTGGTCCAAAGTTCACCAGTGATGCTATTACGGTCTACAGGGCATTAAAAGCGACCCTGGAATCAATTGCAGTACGTGGAGTGAATACTCTTGCTGCTGAAAGGCTGAGCTCATGATCTGATAAAAGGGAAAATAGTCTGCAAAAAAACTGAGTCTGCAAAAAATCTTACAGAGCAAGCGCTCGAAGGCTCAAATCTTGTGGTGAGCAACAGCTTTTTTATTGGAATAAATTACAATACACAAAACAGATTATTATAAAGTGTGCTGTGATTATACATGTTTTCCTCTGCCCCCATGTTCTGAAGAGACACAATCTTACTCATCTGATGCGAGTTCCAGGAAACAGCATGTCTGCCGAATCCCCTCCCATCCTCTGCTGTTTAGGTCATGGCATGACTTGACACTGTCTTCTCTCCATACACTGAGGAGCCTGTTCACAGACACACAGAAGCGTGTGGCAATATTGACGTTTTATAACACAAACTCTACTGCCAGTGGTGAAGGAATTTCATGAACTTGACTTCTCGTGGGGATTCCAGAAATGACTGTGGCTTGTTTATAAAGGTTATGGCACATAAGCGTCATGTGGTTTTGATTTGGACGTAATTTTTAACTATGCCTAAAAAATACTGTGTGCAATGGGATTTCAAATCGCATTGGATGCTAACGTAACAGGGAGTTGTCTCACTCCCAGTTTGACACCAGAATGTTAAACAATAGGAAAAAGGTTGGAGATCATAATTAACAGTTTTTTTCCCCCCGAATAATGGATATTAATTTTAGTAGCAAAAGAGTTTGACCTGAGAGATTGACTGTAAATAGTGCTGAGTAAATGAGAGGCAGTTTTGCCACACGGTCTGCATGGGGATTTTTCCGCACCATGTGTCAGCTGAAGATATTCTCCTGGTCTTCAGAGGGCTGTTCCCAGGAACGCTCAGCCAAGACCCCAGGCTCAACACCCTGCTGTACTTTGAAATGGGATCTTTATTGTCCATAAAGTTTAAGCCAAGTATGAAGAATCGCTCCTCCCAAACAAAACACACTCTCTCTCTTACACACACACACACACACACACACACATATGTATGAAGAGAGAAAGTGAGAAAGAGTGCAGTCTTTTTTGTCAAAGCCATGTTTCCAATTATGCAGCAGATATATATATATATATATAGATGGGATATGATAATAGTAGTTTCTTTAATATAAAGAAGGCTCTTCATCTCATATAACTACAGGAAAAACATGAACAAAACTGACTTGGTGCAATTAGATGTTATTTATTTAATAGATTTGATTTTTTTAATGTTTATCATTGCTAAATCGAGCAATTATGTGCATAATGCCAAAGGCATTAACTTTTAGGATATTTATATGCCTTCAGACCAGAATTGACCATTCCTCTGCAATTAAACTATGCCTCAAGACAGGCAGACTATCTTCCCTCTTTTATGTAATGATAAATTTAGCTGCAACACACCTGCACCTCAGACAAAACTGTTCCATATTTGCTGCTTTGAAGCTGGAGGGAAAACAAAGAGTGAAAATCAAAAAGACCTGACCCTGAGATAGCAGATAAACAGTCTATCACATCTCCTCTCTGCTCCCAGCTATCTCAAACGAGATATGAAAATATCAGATCTTTGATTTTACCTGTATGTGATGCAGTTCATCACTGTAACCAATAGTAAAGTGAGACTTCAAAAGAGCAGGGAGGTCTTGGATTTCAGTTCGGGACCCCCTGGCCATCGGATGGATGAGGTAGAGCGTGTACGGCGAATGAAGACAACATCACAATGAAGAACTGTCTTGAGAGCCACAAATTACATTGGGAGGACAGTTAATGAGGGCGATAATACAGATCTTCGCAGATGATAGATGAGAGGACAGCTATTACAGGCCAAATGTGTGAGATTTATGGCTTTGTTTTAAATGCACTAAAGGCTAAATATGACTTTTTATATGATTTGATATGTCCATAAATTATTATTTAAACAATGAGGGGGGCCGGAATGCAAAAGCACAAGCTGAAAGGAATTTGAGAATTTTGGGATTGTCTTTCTACAACAAAATAAATCTTAGAATATTTGATAATGTCTCTGAAAAGGCAAGACGGCAAGGCTAACTTGGAGTGAATTGGGAAAGTAAATACCTGAGCACAAGTGTGTTCATTCACAGTAATGTAATACTGGAATAAAGTGTGTCACCATTGCTCACCCTGTCTCGACTGTATAGCGGAATCAAACATGACTTCTTCAGATTCAGTTATTTAGCCTATTTTCTATTAAATAAAGCAAGCATCTATACCAAATTACATTTTTTCTTTTACATTCAATTTAAAACAAAGTATAGGCCTATATATAGTTTATTTATTAATTATCGGCTAATGTAGCCCTATGTCAATATTATTTTTTTTAATTAATTTATTTTATTTTAACATGTCTTTACAGATTGATTCTTGTTTAAACATCAAATCGGCTTGCTCTATAAAGTTGTAAAAAAATAAACCGCTTAACAGCAATGGACATTCATAATGTGTTGTGTACTACCTGATCCTCCAAAAACTGTAGATCAGAACCGTTTTTTTCCTGTATGACAAGGTTCCTGACTCGAGCCCCGGGCGACGTCACTGAGTGGGTGATGAGCTCTGAATTTCATACACCACGAGGAAAAAAAGGTCCCCAGCTGAAGAAGGCAGGAAAAAAGTGTGACGAGAGGAGCACTAAATGCCTAGACGTCTACCTGTTTGGATCAGGATGAGATCTGGAGCAATCGCAGAAGAGCGCGCGCACGCAGGTTCAGCACATGGCACTCAAGTCAACAGCTTTGCTCGTCAGAATAAAAACTGAATATTTTACATACCAAATGGAAACGCTTTTTAAAAGTTCTGGCATCTAAGTAGTTCGAGAGGTTTGACTACATTCCATTAACCTAATCTTAGTGCACTTCTGCCTGGAATTCTCCTCAATTTATCTGGTTTTGATGGATGAAGATCTCCAAGAAGTAATAATGAAGATGCTGAGGACTCTCCAAACGGATTTTGCGACCGTCCTCACCCGATGATGTGCTGCTTGGAAGTGTAACATTATCCAGGGGTGCTGAATCTTCTCAGATATTACCAAACGTTCGCACAGGAAAGCCATTGTCATTTCTGGACTAGTTCATCAGACGTAAACTTTTGTCACTCGAAAGCCATTTGACCATGACGATTCCACTTTCCAGAACACAACTTGCTCTCTTCTTTATTCTACTTTGTCCAGTCAACATCATCGGGCTCTGGTGGTAAGTAATATTATCAGGCGCGCGCTCAATTTCCTCTAGAAATTCCAGCACGCTCCATAGGCTATTTAAAGTTCGATCAGTGTGATTAGGGAAACTTATAGGGAATACGTTATAGAGATGATTGAATAGAAAATATGACAATTCGTTCCGGCTTATCGCATGATTATTATTTAAAGAAACATCCCTGAACAATAAATGCTTTTCTGGTTCAGCAAAACATCCCTCTTCTTATTAGGAAACCTCTTGTTGTATTCCTGAGTGGGTTTTCTGGAGGTTAAAAAGTTGAGGTTCTTCAGATCAGGGTATTGGTTTTTGAATGCAGTAAAATATGTATTGTTTACTAAAGACATAAGCTATTTGTGGAACCTATTAAGGTTCTTTTGTGACATTAGGCTGTAATGCTAAGAGTGCCTGTGGTGCAGTTTTGCTGACTGCATGCAGAAAATTAATTTCTGTGCACAATAAATTCGGTGCCTTATACAGCATGCTCTATGAAAACTATTCACTTCTAAAATACAAACCATTTTTCCATTGATAATTCCATTCCACAAAATGAAAAACTGTTAAGAATGAGTTATTCAGTAAATAATTGCACAGATTAGCCTATATAACATTTGTGTAAAGTGATTGTTAGTTAAAAGAACATTAATTGAATTTCTGGGGAAAAAAATGGTGGATCAGTAGGTCTCTCAAATATTAATAGCCTACATATTGAGAGAAATTTACTGTGATACCATGAAACATTGTTGATTATAGCTTTCATGTTTTTTGTGGTTTACTAAGGGTTAAGCTCTACTCTGTTTCAGAGATAGACACATCAGGTCAGAGTTGGAATTTTAGCTGGACCTCCGGGCTGTGGGTGTCATCATAAACTACTCCTTCTCTTAACACTCTAAAATGCATGAGTTTGACAAGAGGGAGATTGTTTGATAAACACAGACAAACCAAAGTGACACATTACCTTTAACAAGGGTGTTGTTTAACTTTGAATGTTCAAATTTCCACCTTATACAAAGTCAGCTGCACCTAATGCTCTCCGCACACGTCTCTCTCTCTCACACACACACACACACACACCTTCCTTCATACACCTGGATGTCTAAAAAAAGTTTGCAAAGACAATGATGCTTTCTTTGGGGCATGACGCATGCCATCACAGACCTCTCGTCTGGTGATGGGCTGTGCCGAGGGTCTCTGACAGACAGCGTGCCATTCACATGCTGAGGCTGAGAGGAGATGAAACGGAGGCAGATAAACTGGCTCTCAGGACTCTGATTGTGCTCTGATCAGCGGGGCTGAGAGCTGAGTGCTTGAGGAAGCGATGGGAAGCCTCACCTCCTCTGGAGTCTTTGGGGTCATGTGCTGGCAGCCCTCCAGGAGTCTGTCGGACAGGTGTGACTGTGCACGCGCCATACCCTCTTGCTTTTATGTCTGTGTGAGTCCGCTCTCAGTCAACATTTGTTTGCATTTTAATGCCCGTGTGACCTCAACCCAATCTGTTCCTTCACACTTTTAATTATTCTGTTCAAACAGTGTTCTCGATCGCTTAAACGTCTTTGATTTGAAGGCTCCCATTGTCCAACACAATATTAAAAAGGCCTCTCATATAATAGTTCCTCTGTAATAATGAAACAAATGTTCTGCTGTAATAATGAAACATATATTTGTCAATATATTAAATCAATTAACTGCATTTGTGATTGCAGAATTTTCAAGAACTGTATGTTCTCCAATAAAACAAACGATCATAGAAATAATAATAATTAAATATTGAAAAAAAATAAAATAAATGTATGTTTAGCTTACACATTATGTGTATTTTAGCATTGTAATTAAGTTACCATATTTAATTTAACTTAATTTAAATAATTTTCCACACCTTCTGATTGAGAACGTCTGTGTTAAATGGATAGTTTACCGAAAAAGTGACAATTCTGTCGTTTTTTCACTCACCACAACACTTCCATTGTATGGACTTCTTTTTTCAAAATAATCTATTTTGTGTTTCTCAGAAGAAAGAAAGTCATACAGGTTTGGAACGACATGAGGGTGTGTAAATAATGACAAATTTTCTTCTTTTTTTTTTTTTTTATCCATTCACGAGTCTCCTATTGGACCAAACCAATATGTGTGAGTGTGTCCCGGACTGCACAGTCTCCTCTAAGATGTTCAGTCTGGGAGAAGCAAATCTCATTTGGAGAATGGAGAGATATCCAATCAAGCGGCCTTGAGAGATGGATCAGATAACGATTGGATGACAGCTGCTTGGCCAGTTTGGCCGCACTTACAGTGTTTCACCTCCGAGCATGCGTCTGCCGCTCTCCCGTTTTTCAGGTCTGTCCCATCTGCGTGTGACGGACAGCGTGGTGGTGATGGAGTTGCGCAGCGCCGTGGTTCCACTCTCATGATTTAGTGGTGCACTCCAAGACGAGACTGTGCCATGGCTCTGCGCCACGCGCCACAGAAGTGAACCCAAGCCACTCTGTGCAGTTCCAGCCCTGTCGTGACTGACTTCATATCCAGCATACTTGGGGGATTAAGTAGGGATGAATATTGCTCTTTCACAAAGTGAAAAAAGTAGAGACTTATCTGTAACCGCGCAATTCATAATGTAACCTGAGGTCTCAACAGGCGCAGAGGGCGACGGGTCTATGAAAAGATAAATGTGCGTGTGTATGTTCGCACTGATTATTTGGATAACTTCTCTTAATCACAGTTCCCCCCTCCGTTCCCCCTCTATATTATCTCTCTCATACATCACGGTGTGGCTGTTTTTGGATATTCCTGATTGCACAAGTTGGGTACATCCTTTTCCATGTTATCATTAGGCCCCATCTCTCGCTTATCACATACAGATAAAGGAGTGGCTTTGAATAAAGCCGTGAATATGATGGTTGATCGTGAAGGGCATGTGGTCTTCCTCTGCTTATATATATACCAGCCTTATGTGCTGACCTCGGATCAACATCCCCTATTAAAATCCTAAAATGAATCACTGTATAAGAAATGGCTGAAGTGATCATCATGTCCAGATTGACTCTTTCTGCAGGCATGCTCTTTTGTCTATTGTAATGTTTTTGGCCATGGTCGTGGCTGGTTTCGATTAGAGCCAGGGAAGGGATGGTTCATCAGACGCAGACGAATATCTTCATCTCTATATCACCCAAGCCATAATGTGACCACATATGCATCTCAGGGCTTTTGTTCAAGCTTTCCTTTATAAGCCAACGCTTTACCTCGCCCCTTCTGACAGTGAAACAGGACTTGGAAAGAGAGAATTGCTCCAACACTGTCTGCTCTTTTACGAGTCTACACCTCCTGCTGTAAAATGTGGTTCCATTATTTGAGCAGTGATCCTGGCGCTGAGAAACTCACAAGTTTGTAGAAAATCAGAGACTGCAGCGGAGAACATTGTATCTGCTTGTGCAGATCGATCTAATAGAGGGATTAATGCACAATACTTAGGAATGATTTGGCCTCAGGGAGACTTTTCCGTGAGCTTCTAGACTGTCAAAACAATAATTTTAGAATTTTAGAAATTGCATTTTACACAGTATATATCTTTATTTATATATAGAGAGAGATATATCAATTATTTTAATAAATCATCAGGTATTTGTGATGTATAAAAACTGCAATTATGGCTTTACAGAAGTGTTATTCATATGATGCATACACTCTAAAAAATGCTGGGTTGTTTTAACCCAACTTTGGGTCAAATATGGACTAACCCAGCCGTTGGGTTAAATTTTTACATTACATTTTTAACCCAACATTTCGGGTTTGTCCATATTTGACCCAAAATTGGGTTAAAACAACCCAGCATTTTTTAGAGTGTAGTGATAGTGTGTAGCGTTAACTAACATATATCATCTCCTGCTAATTTTTGAGTCCAAAATTCTCTTTAGTCACCTAATACAAGTAAAAATTGACATTGCTGAGTAGTATGTGCCAAGTGTAGTCTGACACTCTAAATACAGTGAGAGAAAAACAGTTAATTAATTTTTGTCATAATTAAATTAAATTAAATTAATGTATTTAATTTGGCTCTATAAATTGTTTTAATGTGCAATGAAATGAATCCAATAGTGCGTGTAAGCATATCTCACAGCAAAACACACTCGCGCTGCACCATGTCCAAAGACTTCTGTTGAGTGGTCATATGTAAATGAAATATTAGGCCTATCAAGATGGGATGCATCACTTGTAAAGCCTGCTATCTCCCCTCTCATATTTCTTATCAGACCGCCATGGAAGGCGACTGGCAAGAGCGTTGGTTTGACTTTTTAAAACAAACTCGCACGGCAGATGAATGTTATTAGTCTGAAAGATTAGCCTTGACTGGGGTGAATGAAAAGCAATGAAGTATTCGCACAGAGTTCTGCTCCCCCAGATGGCAACGTAATGATAAAAACCGACTTCAGCTGCACGGATCACAGACGCTGAACTTCACTCTAATACGGCGAGAGTTATTAAAATGAAAGAACCGAAGGATTGTGCCGTTCTTACATTACGTCATAGCGACTGTCACGGGAAGCTCTGGCAGCTCGCTCCACGCTTTGGACCTGAGGCCTCTTCTCCCATTAGCAGTTGAAATAAACAATTGATTCAAGTGTAAACACACGTCTGTCGTCACTTTTGATAAAACCCAGCAATTAAGATGTAGCGTTTTTGCTTTAAATGTTATCCGTTTATGTTCAAAGGGGTAATACTATTACCGCTGACATTATAGTGTGTCTGACTCTAGTAGTTGTCTTTTTTCTGTTTATTTTCTTTGTCATCTGCAAGGAACAATGAGTATGCCTGAAAACCACGAAAAGCCTAAATGAATGAGGATCTGCTCAGACCTTAACCTGAACCTTGCAGTAAAGCAACAGAACATTAAATGTGTAATACTTTTAATCATTTAAAGTGGTTTGTGCGCCGTGCAGTTTGAGAAGATAACCGCACTTTATCTTGTGAAACCTCATGCAGTTCAGATGAGTCATCTGATGAAGCTTTGTTGGTTTCAGGGCAGTGGGGAGTCCCTTGGTCATGGACCCGAATAGCATCTGCAGGAAGACCAAACGTCTGGCGGGCAAGCAGGCCGAGCTCTGCCAGACTCAGCCGGAGATCGTCAACGAAGTCGCCAAGGGCGCCAAGCTGGGCGTGCGAGAATGTCAATACCAGTTCCGCTTTCGTCGCTGGAACTGTACCAGCCAGAACAAATACTTTGGCAAAATCCTCCAGCAAGGTGAGCGTTTGTCCTGACAAGGTGAAAGAATGCACTCTCACAGGTTATCTACCTAAGTTATCTACCTAAATTAATCAATCTGTGCCTCGATTATTTGTCAGCGACGTCTCTTTGAGGGCATGAACTCTGGCCCTGAGACCCATGCCCTCTTTTCAGCATGTTTGATCCAAGTTCATAAGAGAACAAGGACAGCTGTTGTGTCCGGTTTACCTCAGTGCTCTTCTTCTGTGTTAAATTACTCTCTAAAAACGATCCCCAAATTGTATGATCATAGATCTGCCACATTTTTCAGTCCTTTGAAGAGTAATAAACTAACGTAACCTCTACAATTATTAGGCCGTCCACTCAGGGTTCAACTCCTCCCTTCTCACGTTTGATAACTTGTTCAGTAGTGGCCATTATTTCACCCCACAACAGTCTAAAATGTCTGTCATTATCTAATATTTTGTAAACACTTTCTTTTAAAGATCCGATGAACAACCTAAAGGGCGAGTGTAAATGGTTTCCATTCGGGAGGTGGTTCGATACATAATAGGCACAACTCAGCCTTTTGTAAATGCATCTGGTAGATCAGGCCACAGTTTACAAAAACTTGATTTAAATTTGTAAATTGTCCCAAAAATCAACACATCCCAGCAAGCAATAACTGTCATTTCACCATCTAGGTTAACTATACACTTGATATAGTCCGGGTATGAGTAACCCACTTCTAGCCAAAATAACCTTGAGTTTGGTTGCATGTCGTTTTTGCCCAAAAAACTCGCAAGTCATGTAAGTCAACGATGATTACAAGGTGTTTGATTTGATCTGTTCTTAGGCTATGGTTAAACATCTATTAAATTTTCACTGGTTTCGCTTAAATTTGCCTTGTTTTAGCCTATAGATATCAGGGCTGTGTTTGGGTGGCTAATGTCTTTTAAACGTAAAATTGCTTGCTGGTATTCTTAGAACAACAGACAGCATTCTTGTATAATACTGTTTTTGCAACCATCTTTTTGGCATGAGCAAATCATTAAAGGATATGTCAGTTAGATGCTGCATGTTGCCTGCCGTTTCATTGGTTGTCACCAGTAGAGGGCACTATTTTGGCTCAACATTCTATGAGATTGGTATGAGATTAGGATGGTCAGCAAATGATGTGCCTAATTTGACTTGAGTTTTCTTTTTTGACATACCCATATCACAGTGATGTAGAGAGATGCAGGCTTGTCATATCCAGGTCTGGAGCTGAGAGTTCACGGTTTGGCCTCCAGTGTGGACGTGTTCACACACGGATTGCAACATGATTCCTCTGTCTGCATCAGCCCATCTTAGACTAAGCACTGGAGACTGCCTCACAAAATGGAAATTAATCATAAATTCCTCTGTGTCTATAGGTGAAGCTTAAGTGCTCTTCTGTTTTCATGAATTTACCACAATTACCGTGAGACTCTGCTCTAATGACCACGTGTCATGAGAGTTCTGCTAAGGCAGGTTCACTTCCTGCACCGTGCGATAGGGTTGTGCAAAGTGTCTCACATATTTCTTCCATTGCTAAATAACTGGGGGCTATTTTCTTCCCCTATTCAAACATGTAAACCAGAGCTTGTTTTCTTGGCCCAGGGGAGCGGCGTTCTAATGCCAGAATTTGCTGGAAATGCTGCCGGCTGCTCTTACATGTTGTCTCTGAGGTTGTAATGAAGTCGTTAAAATCGCTCAGAGACAATATGCGGTTCCAATTAGAAACCCCAGAAATGATAAGGACACTGTGTGCACGTAATTTGCCCTGTCACCTCAGGAATGCGCCTCATTATTTTTGCTGTCAAGACCTCTTGTTGCATGTCTATGTCAATGAGTGTATGGTATCGTGCATTGTCTGATGTACAGAGGACACCGAATTTTTTCCAGAGGTTCAGGTCTCAGAATGGCAACAAGCATTTGAATTCAAATTATATTTTAATTTAATTTATAGTATTTAAATAGTAGAATGGAGTCTAAAATATAACTGAGATTTCCATACAAATTATCTATTTTTATATATCAATACTGTATATATTATGGATTTTTTTTATGTATTTTATACCCTAGTAAAATTATTATTATTATTATTATTACATTTATTTCATACTAAGTATATTCCAAACCATTAACATATTTACTGACATATCACTGGAGACCTACGGATATAAAAATTCAAATTTATTTGGAGCTCTACTTTATTGCACAATGCACATTAGGCTTCAAAATGTTTAATATCACTATTATGGATAGAATGATTTCTATATATCATTCTTTAAATGCAAGATATTTAAACTGTACTTCAGTATACTTGCAATAGTTCCACTTTAGCGCAATCAAATATACTTCGGTATATCTTTAGTTGGACTATTTCTGGATATCTAAGTACAAAATTAGGTGTTCCAGCTTATCAGACTTTAAGTATATCAATTTAGTATACCAAAAGTACAGTTGCAGCGTATTTATATTAAGTACGTAATATGTAAGTGTATTTATAGTATACTTAGCATTAAATGTATGTATTTCAAATATATTTTAGTATTTTTATTTTTCAATTGGGTATATATGAAAAAAAAAGTAGTTTGAAGCCTATGATATATTCAAAAGTTTGGGGTTGGTTAGATGTTTTCAAAAGCATAGTAAAAACAGTACAATAACTGTTATACAATTAAATTTGTTCCTGTTATGGCAAAGCTGAATTTTAAACAGCCATTACTCCAGTCTTCAGTGTCACACGATCCTTCAGAAATCATTCTAATATGCTGATTTGGTGATGTTGAAACAGTTGCTGCTTACTGTAATATTTTTATGGAAACTGTAATAAAAAATGCAAGATTCTTTTATTAATAGAATGTTCAAAAGAACAGCATTTGAAATAGACATTTTTGTAAAATATGTTTTTAAAAATATTCAATGTCACTTTTCATCAATTTAATGTATCCTTGCTGAATAAAATTATTACTTTCTGTAAAAAACAACATTTTTTGAACAGTAGTATACATAAATATACATTTGAATCTCAATAAATACCTATAAGCAAGCCATTAAAACATATATATATATATATATATATATATATATATTTTTTTTTTTTTAATCCCATCTTATCTTGTGAGATAGTCCCATACAATAGGTACATGATCCCTCTGGTATTCTGTAATGGAAATCAAAATTTCTCTCAAATTTTACTATCAGAAATGACATCCTCACATCAGCCATTTGTTCAGCAGATGTGTTCGGTATCTTCAGTAAAGTAGTGATCGTGAACTCACATTTGAACTCGTAAGCATGTGTGCATTCAAGAAAAGGGCAGGGAGAGCGAGAAAGAGGCAGAGAAAAAGATAAAAATTAAGGTTTTACATTATCTAACAATGTCCATCTCCAAGCCCGGAGGCAAACCATTTTTGCCAGCATTTTTTTCAAAGCTAAGCACATACGCTTTATTTGGCATTTTTACAGTTCAAAAGGCTGGCGCACTCAGCCTTAAGGACTGCATGAATATATGTTATCATTTGAAGGGATAGCCAGACCTGTTTTAAATGGATTCCTTGTGCACTCAAGAGGAACTGTATTGGACATTTTTTGAGAAATGAGACAGTCCATTTGGCATCAGAGATCACTACAGTTTGTTAGTGGGAAAGCAATTTTTCATACCCCGAATCTGACTTCCTAAGGTCGCTTAAAAGGTGGTATAGGTTGCGCTTCATGTGGACCCTGAGAATAGCCTGAGAATTACACATTATCCACAAGCATGTGTGTGTTGCTTCGGTTGCTTTCAGTTGATAAAAGTGGATCCCAGGTATGCAAGATCTGCACAGCATTAAAGATTTTCTCAGCCCTCGCTGCATGCAGGCAGCACATGTTGGCAAAATAAATCAATCAAAATTATTCCCGCTAGTCAGCACTGGTAGAGCCGCTGGAGGGGCCCTGCCTTCTCTGCATCTCTTTTCATCCTGCAGCCCCATGCTTCATTGACTCAAAGATTGAGTATTAAAAAAATATTTGCTAATTCTCACAGAAGCCCCTTCTGGCATTATGTTCTCTCTCTCTCTTTCCTAGGCAGGCCTGGGCATAGACAGCTGCACAAAATTTGTTTGGAATTTGTCTTGGAGGAAAAAATAAGAGAGGGAGGTGAAATCAAGAGACTTTTTACCCTCTGTCTGTCATGACAACCCCTGTCTTATGAATGTATTGGATTAGGTAGTGTGGCTCCAAAGGGGTGAGTTTAGTCTTTGTAGTTTAAATTCTGGATGATGCAGTGTTTACAAAATATAGTTTGATCATGATATGTTTGACATTCAAAAAGGCTGAGGTAATATCAGGGTTTCAATGAACATGGAACATCTGGAGATATCAGGACATTTTGAAAGTAATGGTAATTTTAATTATGATTGTAAGCATTCTAGATCTGCTCTGCTCCAACATATTTAATAAGATAGTTGCTTCTGCAGAATAAAACTTCCCCACAAGCCAGCATTATCACAGGAGTCTGTCCATTGAGGGTCATAAGTGACATTTGTTCAGTAATAAGTATAATGGTTTAAATATTCATTTTAAAGATTTGACATGGAATTATTATTTCTAAAAATTCATATCTGATATTCATGAAAGATCATGCAAACCAGCAGTGCATGAGTGACAAGACATTGGTCCATTAGTTTTTATTTCTGTTGTGTCATGTTAAGTCTGCCAACAGTGAGATTTCATATGTCCAAAATCTCTTTCAGTTAACCTTATTTACTTTTCTTGTCATTGTCCAACTTACTGTAACAATTTCATTGCATTGCCATCATGACAATGCTGATACAAATTAATAGGATTAATAGGATCAAAGAATGAACGTGATTGTGAGGTATACAGATAAACAGAGAACATGTTTGCTTTCTTGGTGGCTTAAGAAGTAACGTCTCGGTTATGTATGAAACCCTCATTCCCTGAAGGAGCGAACTGAGACATAGTCAATGTGTCGACTGATTGGGATCATGCTTAGGGAGCCAGTCATCTTCAAGTATTGATAAAACGAGCCAATGCACGTTGGAGTGCGAGCTTTGCATCTCACGCTCCGCCCCGCAGCTCAAGCATAAATAAGGAAGTGGATGAGTCACCAGAGTCAGCGGTGGTCCAGCAATAGTGGCGACGGGACTACATTTCCATTCCCTCCTTCAGGGAACGAGGGTTACATACGTAACTGAGACGTTCCCTTTAGGTTTCTCACATTCGGCGTAGTCGACAGTTTAATTGGGATCCCAATTAAAACGCCAGTTCTGCTGCCACCTTCCAGTGCCTAGACAAAAGCCTCCTGATCCCCCAATATTATTGAGGCAGAGACGGGACAGGGCTTAGGCCAGGGAAGTCACTGCAGTTCCGCAAGACCCACTCAGTCAAACTTAGATAATTAGTGCCCTTTGGGGGAAAAGAAGATGCTGCGAAAGACACATCCTGCTCGTAGGGAGGTATACAAGTGGAGGATTACAGGTGGAGACTCAACTGGTCAGTGATAGCAGAGCGGGCTCTCAACAGTGTTCGGCTAAAGAGGAACTCTACTGGAGCAAGAATGGCGCACATTTCCGGTCCGTAGGAAGGGAATATGTGCAGCAAGCCAAAACTTTGAGCTATGTGAAGAGAGCTCACACAAAGCAACCAGCTCGACACATAGGCTGTAGAATCTAGCAAACGTTTTTTGTGTTGCCCTGTCCGCAGCTCTAAAAACATCTGTCATCGAGGCACCCTGTGCCAACTCCAATGAAGAATCTACATACACTCCGAGTGGAGTAGGCTCGCAATCCAGGGGTGCATGGTGCATCTTGGGATTGATACGCCAAGATGATGGCATCCACTGTCCAGTGAGCCTTGTGCTGGCCTCTGTAAGAGACAAAGAACTGGTCTGAGGTCCTGAGGCTTTGCATTCTGTCCAAATTTAACCGCAAGGAGTGGACGGGACAGAGAAAAGCCAGGGCTGGGTCTGCCTCCTCCAGGGTCAGCGCTTGCAGGTTCACCACCTGCTCCCGAAAGCGAGTGATAGGAACCTTTGGCACATACCCAGGTCAAGGTCTCAGGATAACATTAGAGTTAGCCGGCCCAAATTCCAGGCACGATTCGTCGACGAAAATGCGTGCAGGTCCCCTACCCTCTTGATGGAGGGGATGGAGGGGATGCAGGGGCGACAGGGCCAGCCCGGAGGGTAAGACTTTGTACTGATATGCTTGAACCTCGAACGCAAAGTGCAGGAAGGGCCTGTGTCGTGGCAGGATGGAGACATACAATTATGCGTCCTTCTGGTCGATTGCTGTGAACCAATTTCGGGGATGGATGCATTAAAAAATGTGTTTCTGCTTTAGCATCTTGAACGGAAGTTTGTGAGGGGCCCAAATCAAGACTTGCAGGTTCAAGATTGGCCGTATCCCACCACCTTTCTTGGGTAAAATGAAGTATGGGCTGTAGAATCCAGTCTTCATATCGGCTGGAGGAACCAGCTCTTTTATATCCATTGCCAGTAGGACTGCAATCTCTGCGCGAATGACAGGGGCACGTTCACTCAACACCGACGTGTAACAAACACCACTGAATTTGGGCAGACGCTGGCCGAACTGTGTAGCTGAGTCTGATGGTACGGAGGAGCCTTTTGGACCGGTTGTGAGGCACTCTTCCACGAATCGGCCCAAGGGGACCAGAGGCACCACAGACGTTCCCGGGGTGGGGCAGCGAAGTGGAGGACAGGGACCTGGCTTGGAAGGACCGGGGCCAGCCCGAAGCGGGGTCTGAGTGTGTGTTATAACACTTACCCTGTCTCCCCGGTTCGCCAGGGTGTGCGTGAGAAGGTGTGACCAGGTCCTCGAACCGCATCTAGCTACCGGCTGGCGACACAAGAGGTGGCTGAGGATTACAAGGCTTTGGATGGATTCCTCATTCTAAGCCTCTGAATTGCAGAGTATTTTGAATCACAGAACCAGTTCAAAAGAATTATTTGTTCATGACAACACAGGTAATGCTGCCTGAAATGTCAGCATGCATTGAGTAAGATACATTGTTGAATATAGTACATAAGCATCCATTGGTTTTCTTTTTTAATTTTTCATTACGAAATCCTGTAGGGGCTAATATATACATTAGTATTCAGATAATCAGGGGATATGTAATGTATGTGCCACATGTATGTTCTGTTTTGGTTTTATTCTAGTTCCTGTTTCCTTTGTTCTTATTTTCCCACCACTTGTTTGTTTATATTGTTGTTAATTAGTCCCCCACTCTTGTTCTGTTTCTATATGCCCTGAGTTCTCCTTGATTCTTTGTCCTGCATCATCTTAGTGGATGTGTTTCCCCCGTCATTCTGCTCTGTATTATATCGACTATTTTTGTGAGTTCTACGCCTTTGTGCAGTATTTATACAGCCAGACAGTGACAGAAATATACAAAAATAAAAATGAAATCCACATAATCTGCTTCTCTTTAGGGTACTTCATTTTGGATAGCAATGTAGTAAACCGTGCTCAGTTTATAGATTTCATTGTTGATTTGTGTGCCAGAAAACTACAGGTGATTTCAGGTGGGGTGCTGTCAGAATGTTCATAGATGTATCAAAACAGGAATGCACACACAGTGGGTACAGTATGCAGATAACAGTGGGAGTATGAATGGACAGCTTGGATTAATATCTGTGTGTGTGTGTGTGTGTGTGTGTGTGTGAGTGTGTGTGAGCTCTGATTTGATTTCACTGGCTTTAATGAATCCCATTCACCAAATCATGCGTTGCAGAATTGGCACAAGACTGAAGAGTGACTGCACACTCGCTGCATCCAGCATTTACACAGGATAAAAGTTATTTCTTTCAACTCCCTTACTACAAGTTGCTAAACACATCTGAATTTGTTTTCAGAATTTGTTTTTTTACTATTTAATAAATTCTTTTAGTGAATTGGCCCTGTCACTTTCTTTTAAAATAACTTTTTATTTTTGTACGTTGTAATTTAAATTTAAAAAATGCATTCATACACACACACACACACACACACACACATATATATATATATATATATATGAAGAGTTCAGATGCAAAAGCCTCTAAATGCCATTTGAAATTTTCTTCTAAAATGACCATTTTTATCAATCTTGTATATTTAAGTTCAGTAATTTCACTTAAATGACAATTAATAGGTAATTATCATTGCCATTTAAGTGAAATTACTGAACTTAAATATACAAGCTTGATAAAAATGATCATTTTAGAAGAAAAATTCAAATGGCACTTAGAGGCTTTTGCATCTGAACTCTTCATATATATATAAATATATATATATATATATATATATGTATATATACATTGTGTTTACCTATGTTGCGTTTATTTAAATTCAGTAAATACAGTAATATTGTGAAATATAATTTTCATTTAAAATAAATGTTTCTATTTTAATATATTGTACACCGTAATTTATTCCTGTCATGTTTCGGTTGTTATTTTAAAAAAAAGTTCTTACTTATTGGATAATCATGGAACATGATCTTTAACTGAACAGCATAAGGATTTATCCACAATGCAGCTTGCTCTGTCCTCATATATGGCTTGTGGCATAATGTCCTTGGGATGAGACTACCTTATCACAGAAATAGCCCATGCAGCTTTAGGATATCTAAAGTTCCATAATTATCAGAGTCAGATGCAACCCAGTTTGGCCAACAATCAGAAGCTAACTTTGATGTCTCTCTCTCTCTCTCTCTCTCTCTCTCTCTCTCTGTGCGTGTGTTTTCACAGACATCCGAGAGACAGCATTTGTGTATGCCATCACAGCAGCGGGTGTAACGCATGCAGTGACCCAGGCTTGCAGCATGGGGGAGCTGCTACAATGCGGCTGCGAGGCCACACGGAGTAGAGGCCCCCCCCCTCGCTTAGCCAGTATTGGCCCAACCGAAGGGGTCAAGTGGGAGTGGGGGGGCTGTGGGGACGACGTGGAGTTCGGCTATGAGAAGTCCAAGCAGTTCATGGACGCCAGACGGAGGAAGGGCAAGAGTGACATCCGCACACTGATAGACCTTCATAATAATGAGGCTGGACGACTGGTACGTTATTTCATGTTTCACATCTTTTCACAAATAACTGTAGAATAACATTTTTAAAACAATTCTAATAATGTTTAACCAGACTTAATAACTTTTTACAGTTGTTTAGCAACGGTTGGCAGTATAAATCCAATCCAATCCCTAATCCCTATATCTATCTATATATTAAATTAAAATATATTTAAAAATAATGTTTTAACACTATGCACTACCGTTGAAAATTTTGGTGTCTTTGGTGACTGTGACTACAGTGGCTCAACCTTAAGTTTATCAAGCATCAATAATACTATTTGTGCGCAAAAAAAAAAAAAAAAAATTCTGATGTGCAGTTACACTTTGTGACTTTTCTCGCAGTTTCTCGTCACTTTGTACATTATTCTGTACTATATGTATGTGCAAGAGCAATTAAGGCAACAGAAATCAAGCGTATAACGTCATTTCTTGCAGGTCATGTTAGTCAAGCTCGCGTCAGCTGATCCACGTCTACCTATCTGAAAATGACACCCATAACACCATAACATTCATATATAAGCTCCTTCAGTATTATCAACAGCTATCGTGTTTTTCAGGAGCTAATTACCCTCCTCCATCCCCAGCTCCTCTCGTCCAGTCAGGATTTGGCATTCTGATTCCCCTTTGAATCAGACTAAATTCTCAAATTATGTTGTACATACAAATTTTGAATTTATGATATCTGCAAAACATTTATTTTGGTTCTGTTCTGTTTACCCTAAGGGGGCTACTGCTGCTCTCCCGGCTTTTATCCGTGCTAGGCTGCATGGATGCGCAGGGAGTTCTTGCCCAGAACAGAATCATACCACCAATCCAAACTGTATGCTAATTGTCAGTCGTATTTGACGATAGTGATCCTGACAGGAACTAATTTTATATATTTTTTTGTAATATAGAGTACTTCCTTTCACAACCTTTGTTAATATATCTACAATAAACAAAATTAGGAATTGTGATGACTAGCCAGACAGCTTTTACAGTATTTACTTACATGTTTTGCACAGTGTTTTGTACAGCGCCTCAGTTAATACCTGTCACCCTCATGCAGGTTTGGCGTAGATGTGTTTTTTTTTTTTTTTTTGGTACGATATCACTGTAGATAGATTTTTTGCATTGATGCATAGATGATACAAGCACAGTCGTGTGCTATTTTGCCTGTACAACCCTTCAGAGATAGTTAAGCTCAAATGAGCAGATGGTGCACTTCAAAAGCCCAAGCATGGAAGAGCTTGGAAATGTTATGGAAAATACTTGGCAGAAGCTGAAGTAGACAGTTGAGACTAGTTTCCCCTCCTTATTGTCTAGGTCAATTTAATATATAAAGGAGTGTATTTTTTAAAGGCTTTTTAAAATGACAGCATTATGTACATTAAATGAAACAAGTAAATATTATTATGAGTTGACACATCCAGTTTCTTTCAGAGTAGAAAATAGTCTATAATATTAATTTAATATGTGCAATACGACACTGAGCAGAGGTGATATTCGGCTCTCATTCACAACGTGAACAGCATACAAATGCATAGAAAATGCAAACACAGAAATGCATATGTGCAGTAATTCAATAATAAACTCTAATGCCTTTTGGATATTGCATCATATGTAAAGATATGACACAATAGATTTTCCATAAAGAATGTTCTCCATTTATTGAGAATGTCTCAGATTACAACTGTAACCCTTGTTCCCTGAGAAGGGAACGAGAAGCTGCGTGATTGTCATTGATGCTTTGGGAATGCCACTGCTAGAATTTGTCTGAAGCATGTGTGAAATCAGTCTAATGGCATGATGGAATGTCACAGGTGGGTGACACACATATATGTGTGTGTTTATGTATGTATATATATATATCTTTAGATGTATGCAACTACTCAGTTTACTATTTTATAGTTTAAAATACACTGTTATTCAGTAGTCTAAATAAGTCCTATTTATGATTTCCTTTAAGCAATCATCAGTCGGCCAGTGGCCAAAAACCCTCATGTTAGTTATTCACTAGTATCAGTAGTATCTTGCAGGGGTCACTGCCTTACAGCCTCAGGTCCTGTTAGTAAGAGGTCGGTCACAGGTAAGTAGGCATTAAGGAGTGAGGTGGGGGCAGTGTTTGGGGGAAAATCACATATTTGGCAGATAGTGAATTTCTTCTTCAATACTTCTTTTTTTTTTTTAAATGCCTCACAAAGAATTGTTTGGAATTAAAGTGAGAAAAATGGTAATGCTACATTATCAGATGTTTATTTCAACAGGTATAGAACTGTACGAATCTGTTTTCAAGTTCTCGGATTGGCTTTCAGGTGACTGGAGGCTACAGAGGGAGGGGAGAGACTGGGGTAAATTCCTTCTAAATAGCTTCTCCTTTTATCTCACTGAACTATCTTTGTGTCTTGAACTGCAGGCGGTGAAGAATTATATGAGAACTGAATGTAAATGTCACGGGCTGTCTGGCTCTTGCACTCTGAGGACCTGCTGGAAGAAAATGCCTCACTTCCGCGAAGTGGGTGATCGCCTGCTCGAGCGCTTCAACGGGGCATCCAAAGTGATGGGTGGGAATGACGGTAAGACTCTCATCCCAGTGGGGCAGAACATCAAACCTCCGGACAAGCAAGATCTCATCTACTCAGCCGAGTCACCGGACTTCTGCCTGCCGAATCGGAAGACAGGTTCCTTGGGCACACGCGGGCGAATGTGCAACAGCACAGCGCTGGACGTGAGTGGATGTGACCTTCTGTGTTGCGAGCGGGGTTACCGGGACGAGACAGTAGTCCTGGAGGAAAACTGTCTCTGCCGTTTCCACTGGTGCTGCGTGGTCCAGTGTAAAAAATGCTCGGTCAGGAAAGAACTGAGTTTGTGTCACTAACCGAGAACCCTTGTTGCAGGGATTGAGTTGAGTGATTCTGAACAAGGAAGTGGTGCCAGTGTCAGAACAAAAGAATCGAGAACATTCCAGATTCATGCTTACACATTTCAAACCTTGAGGCTTTTGAAAAGCCTAGAGGAGTGTCTGACTTGTGACTGACCCCTCCGAAAACCCAGGACGCTATAGTCTCAATGATCACTCAAGACTCAAGGGGTTGTTTAGCTGTGAAGTCAAGACATTCTGACATTCTTATCAGCAGATTGAGAAGGCTTTTGTGCATCTTTTTCTGTTAAATCAGCCCTTTATATTTTATGAGTTTAGACTGGAAGCACATCCACATCAGCAACACAGCCACAGTGTATGCTGGCTGTTCATGCTCTGAAGTGACAGAACATCAAGAAAGTGATATTTGGCATATCACTGGATATGAAACAAAGACTGTTATTTATAAGCATTTTATATCATGACTACTTCTTGTGACTATGCCCTGTTATTTTCCTTCAAAAGCACTTTGAGAACTTTTAACAGAAAGGGTAACAGATCATTTTACTCTTAAACTCAAAGGTAAAAAGCAAATGCAAGAGATCCAACATGTAAAAACTATTATGTTTGTGAGATATTTCATCTCTGGGGCTTTTAATGCACTTTTACTGATACTGATCACTATTTTTCTTTGGTTTGCTCCTTGGTGAAAAGCATTTTCAGTGGTTTGTTTCAGTTTTGGTTGTTTGTTAAGAGTTCTTGTGTAAGAGTTCTTCTCTTGACCTCATTTATATGCTCTGAAATGCCTTTTTTAGTATGCTAACACTGCTCAATAGTTCTCAAAACCAATTGCAACTGATCATTAATGACAATGATCAGAGGAATGCATGAGAAATTTCATGTTTTATCACTTTGTTTTATTTACAATGGCTCTCTCACTGGAGGGTTAACAGTGTAATGGTTTCCATGGACTTCATACAGGTCATCAAAACACCATTTCAGCACCATGTTAATTTAATTAAGTGTCACCCAAATACATTATTTCATTAATACAAATACATTTCTGCAGTCTGTACAGTTAATGAAATCAGAACACAGAAATGTCAACAGACAGATTGCAGAGCTTCACAGGCTACTTAAGAGGTCAGCCATGATACTTTCATCAAGTGTTAATCTCAAGTCTCCCATCCTTTGTTTGGAATGTATTTCATTTTTTTGAAAATACCTTCGTAAGGTATCATCTGGAGCGAGCCACAGACCGTTTTCACATGCATTTGTTTTAGGAGCATACGTATAAAATACTTAATTAGACTGAAAAGTGACTACAGTGCCTCAAAATATAACATAAGATTCATCTGTATTTATCTGTAGACTCTTCAAAATTTGTAGTTCCTCAACCTCTTATCTGAGAAATCTGGTGGAAAGATGTGCAAGATTATCAACTGCTCTTCAGCTGTTTCTAAAGTGACCTTGCTATAATTCATACTAGAATTGTATATTTTGCAATGCATTTGAAAGGAAGCTCATTCAGATTTGAAAAACAGAAGACTCGAGGTGAAAATCCTACTTAGCTGCTCAACACTGAATAAAAGAGACAGTTATTCTGTCATGTTTATCTAAGTGTGTTCTTAGTCATAAATTAGTGCTGTTTTCTAAGTATTATTGATCTGGGAAAAGCAATCAATTATTGAAATAGGCATTAAATTGACAAAGTGAAACTACACTTAGTAGAAAATGTACAAATAAAGAGTACTGTTAAATTCTAACATGTTTAAACTGATGGACAAGATCGGACAAAAATCCATTTGTCAAAGGTTTGTCAACAGACTTTGCCTCCAATTTCTCCTCAGTGATAATCTGGTTGAATGTTGTAACTCTCACTCGATTTTTTTGACTCGGAGATATGATCCCATTTCAGCCTGAGATATTTATATAGACAACATAATGAAGCTTATGTCACACTTTCCTTTCATTGACGTTAAACATAAATGTTGTTGTAACTGGCTCACTTCACACAGGGTCAAGGCTCAATGCTTCCCACCTCACTCTCTCACTAAGGCAATTCAGAGATTTCAGTTTCAAGTGCACCGCTTTGCAACTCAGCAGAAGAAAGGTGTTGTTTTGAGTTATTTACGCAGTTGGAAAAGACTCCCTTTGTATTAGTATAAGTCCTGCAAGTCAGCACAAGTTCATATTTTCCAGGAATTTGGGCTGCGTATAGCTAACAGTGTTGAAGATAGAGGGGAAGAGACCGGGAATGTGCCAGGAGCATTGGTGAGGGAAGACAGAGAGAGACGCACAGAACGGCAGGACAACAGTGGAGTCATACCACCAATAGATTTATAGAAGCGGAGGTATTAACATGGTTGCGGTGTTTCAATCACACACACATTTACAGTGGCTGTGGAATGCGCAGAACGAAACGATTGTTCTGTCTTTGCCTGTTGATAGTAAAATACCTAGGACACTAATGAAGGCCTGCCACTGTGGGTGGATACACGGCATGATGGGATACACTCTCATTTCCTCCAATCACCTAGACAATGAGGTTCAAAGACGCTTGATGAGAGACAGTGAACTCCAGTTGCAAGTCTTCAAATATCATTATTATTAATCATTATTTTAGCTGCTGAATAATAAATGTATGATTCAACATTTTGCAATAATGGAGATTTTGTTGAAGGATTTATATCAGTATAGCAAAAGTGTTTTCTCTCCTTATGAATGCACAGACAGAAATAGTTTATGTCTGTGTGTACACAGGTGCATGTGTGTATAGCCTGAGGCCCTGAGCGAATAAAACGGTAACCACCATGTCTACACGTCTTTATCGAAATAGAGATACTTTAGGAAGATATACTCAAAAAAGTCGATCTGTGAATGGGCTTTGAAACCTTGCAGGAGATTTATTTAGGAGGTAGTCTGTCTAATTACATTTTATGATCTGTTAGACTCTATGTGAGTCGATTTGGGAGGTGCATGATGGGATGGAAGAGTCCACTGGAAAAAAAATTGAATGTTCTTTCTTATACTGTGTATTCTTGCAACAACTAGGTTGCAACCCGATATCACGACAAGACGTGAAATAATCACGTTGATCCACTTTGGAAAACGTGTATGTCACGGTTCTACCCAACACAACATTTTTCTTCTCGGAATTAAAAGTATAACATTACAAATGCAGCGAACATAATGTCTCCTAATCTAAGCACTAAGGTGCTAACCTATGGCACTGAAGTTACAGGAGTTTCTTCCCGTTGCTAAGCAACGGAAGGTCGAGTATTTAAAAGGTTATGGTTAACACGGTTAATGTGGTTTAACGTCTATGTAATACGTTGTTTTAGCGTACCTTTTGCTTTAGGAGCGGGGACGCCGGGAAAATAGACGTTTTACTCATTAGGCTGCTTCATTAAAAACGTGACATTTAGACGTTTTTTTCGGCGTGGATCAAGGCGAATCTTTTTCACCTTGAAAATAATACGTTTTTGCATTTTAAATAAAAGAACTTTTCAAAGTGATCGTCAATACAACAAAATTAAATTTTTCTCGGTTTATGGCAGAGGCGATTGCGTGTAGAATAGGTCAACATCCCGAACGTGTTAACGCAAACATGTAAGTTTCACGTTTGAGGGGGTTAAACCGTGACATATACACGTTTTCCAAAGTGGACCAACGTGATTATTTCACGTCTTGTCGTGATAACGTTCCTGGTATGTTAGCTCCTTGTTGACAGCATTTTTTTTTTTTTTTTTTTTTTTTTTTACAGTAGCCTAGTTGTACAGTTGTACAGAGTCAATAATGCGATTCTGATGAATGGCAAGAATAGCAACATTTAATTTGTGGTGGTTGTTTTTTCTGCTATTATGCTTGTGTCTTAATGTTAATACACACATTGTTCATCATTGTATCACAGCACACCACAAAAATATGGAAAAAATATACTGAAATATACGCTCTGCTATATCGACTGGGCCCAGGAGGACAAATTTTGTCATGGATGGGTCTCCATCATCACAGGATCCAGGAAAATGTTCCTCATTGTTTCCCCTGATGGCAGCCCTGCCCCTGATTGTTTATAAAAACAGATTTTATTAATCTTTTTCTCTGTAACATGGCCACATGGTGCAAATTTAATAAGTTACTATAAAACAATAAGTAAACTTTATTTTCTGCTGTTATTGTTCTGTAACTGTTTCCACCATTGCACTGGCTAATATTAGTACAATCTAAATCAGTCCAATTATCACAACCAAATTGAACATCCCAACTAACAAAACATCTTCTAAGAGCGTTTTGCTAATGTTCCTTTTACGTTATGAAAATGTTATTTCTAAATGTTCTCTGAATGCTCAATGAATCAATCTTTTTACAATTAAAAAGATTCAAAAGTACAAAAGTAAAAGTACAAAAGTAGATTCAAAAGTATTCAAAAGTACAATTCTGAATATATATATGTTATTGTAAGAATTGCTGCTAAATGTCCAAATCCAGGAGGTTTTTACAGGGTAAGAAAGTTCATGTATTCAAGGAGGGTTGAAAGCCTCATCTCCCCTAATGGCAGTGACTGCTGCTTCTAAATAACACAATTACCTGGACCATTTCTTTTTGTGGATAAATGGAGTTTTGTGCTCTCACTGGGTTGTTAACCTCTCATGTCAGGACTTTAAGTGCTGATAATATCTCCAGAAGAAAGCTTACTCATAGTTACCAGCTTGTTTCTTTTTGGACGGAGTAAAACGTAAAGAGACACAGCGTGTAAGTCTGTGTCAATAAGCACTGTTGTTTGGGCACTCACTGCACTGGAATCGCCAGATGGATATTGAGTCCCTGTCCTCAGTCATATCAGGATTGCTGTTTCCAAAATGGGCCTGCAATGAAGTGTTTATGGATTTGTGGTTTGTAGGCATTCAGTCTCTCAAATGAATGATGCCATCCCCTGCACACACGCCACTTAACACAAGATGGAGCTATTTATCTCATTTCATGGCTGCATGCTTTACAAGAAACTCGTAAGATACCTTTGAGCCTTTGAAATACACAGATGACAGATGATACAGCTTAGTTCAGATCATCAGTAGCTGCGAGATAAGAACACCCAAGTTAAAGACAACTGAGAGTAGATTGAATAGGACAACGGTAGAAACTGCATGAAATACCCCTTGTGAAAAAGAAATAGATATTCTTCAGTATAGGCTACTGATAAAGTATTATTACGAAAGTTGTATACTTTAAAATTAATTTAATCTAGTATTCATTTAATGTGATTTTTTTTTCAGACAGTAAATTCCATGTTATTTTAGCAAAATATGTCATAGTTTTAATTTATATTGCATGCCATTACTTTAGAGTGCTTTTTTGATCCACCCAAGGACTTGCTGTATATTTCACAATTACTTCAGATGTCTTTGATATGGTTAAAGTGTACTGTCAGATCATTTATGGTAACTAAAACTACTTGTATTACACAATTGGCAGAACCAGAAAGAGGTTGATTGGTGTGTTTGCGTAAAGATCTTGATGATAATGATAAAGTTTCAATTTAGAACGTTTAAAATATATTAACTTTAAATAGTGAAAAATACTACAGTAGCAAAATTAGCCTATACTAAAATAGCCTACTTTTCACATGGTTTAGTATATTAGACGGCACATAAATGTACTTATTTAAAGCTTATTAAAACAAAATTATTTAAAGTAATTTAAAGTAAAACTTTTACATACCTGTGTGCTAAAGGGATAGTTCACCCATAGTTCATCATTTACTCGCCCTCAGTTGATCCAAACCTCTTTCTTCTGAACTCAAAAGAAGATATTTTGAAGAATATGGGTAACAAAATGTTGCATATTATATGGACAAAAAAAGTCAGTGGGTGGTGATCTGTGATTATTAGCTTAGTCTGTCTAACTTATGCATTTAGATTTTTAAAAACGTATAACATGCAGACAACTATGCATTAACTACCCATATGCAAAACACATATTTTTACAGAGCAATCACACAGAGGCAGGTTGTGGCTGAACAAAATGATCTCTAAAGAAAATGCTTTTTTTTTTTTTTTACAATCAGTGCAGTGCATTCATTGAATGAGACCATAAAGTACAGACAAAACGCAGTTGTTGGTAGCGCAGCAGCAGCACCTGTCAGACAGTCATATGGGGTTAGTATGCGGGTTAAGAGCTTGGCTGAAGCTTCTGCTGAAAGCCGGTGGTCTTTGCGGATAGGGATTTGTGGTACATTCCAAGAGAAAAGCTGGAAGAACTGATGCGAAGCGGGATAAAAGGGATCATAGATTATTTTGTTGTCCCAGTGTGCAGTTTTTTTTTTTTTTTTTTCTAATGTAGAGGGAATCTGCTTCCAGGGTTGTCTTCTCTGTTCAGACAGTTATAGATGATGTCAGGACGCTT